AAAAAAAAAAAAAAAAAAGTGGACTAGTGGAATAGAATATTAATGGAATCATTATTATTTTATGATACTTTGGCACTGTATTTAATTGTCATAACAAGTTTAGGAAGAGGTATGATTTTCACTAATTTATGGATTAAAATAACTGAGGCTAAAGATATAAAGTTGCTTGTCTAAGACTATGCAGCTGGTGGCAGAGCTGTTGTTCAAAAAAGGTATGGTTCTGTTTGATGGGCATTTTTAGATACTCTGGACACATGCTGGATTACAAAAGATTCTGGGGCAGGGGATATAGCTCAGTGGCATAAGCGCCTGCCTAGCAAGTGCAAGATCCTGAGTTCGATTCCTGGTACCAAAAAAAAAAAAACCCTCCCCCCAAAAAAGTTAATACAAAAGATTCTGATCCCTCAGATCTACAGGGACATCTCTGTTTTGGTCTCTGAGCCCATGGTTCATTTCCTTACCCAGAAGCACACATTTTGAGATAAAACTAGCTCAAGAGAAGAAAAGTTGATCACAGAGATACAGATTGTCCCCAGAATGAACTAAGACTTGGATCTCGGGGCTTACAAAGTTAAAATAAGCATAAACCTGGAGCTCCAGAGAGAAACCTGTGGCTAAACCAGGGGGCACGTTGTCACCGTCAGGTAAACCTCTTTCCTCGTTCTCTTCCTTTTTAGTTCAATATACATTCTTTTTTCAATATACATTTTTAAAAAGTCTTACTGGATGCAGGAACTAAGAGTTACTTTAGGACATAAGCCTGAAAAAGGCCTATTCTCTATTCTTTAGGAGATTACAGTGTAAGGAGAGGCAGATACATACAAAAATATAATTCAAGCCAGGTGAAGAGGTCCATACCTGTAATCGCAGCTCTTTGGGAGGCTGAAGCAGAAAGTCCGAAAGTTTGAGCCCAGTCTGCGCAATACAGAGACTGTTAAGAAAGAAAGAAAGAAAGAAAGAAAGAAAGAAAGAAAGAAAGAAAGAAAGAAAGAGAAAAAAACCAGAGAAAAGAAAGTCACTTAAAAAATTCAAGGTAGAATGAAAAAAATCAGTTATGGAATACAATGGACTAATACTCACATAGGTAATGTTTTAAAGTGAAAAATACCAGGCTTAGGGCAAGCATACTGAAGTTGTCATACTAATTTAGCTTTTACCAATTTAAGCCCTTAGTCTTATCTCCTTATTGGTAAATGAGGGTCATTATATTTACCTTTATCATCCTAATCACAAGATCGCCTTGAAGACTTGGTAATGTAATAATGTCCCCGGCATATAGTTGATGATTAATAAACAACGGCCATTATTAACTCTCAAAGGAGCAACGTGGTGCAGGTATGGTTCTGTTTACCATAGAGGAAGTTAAATCTCTGAAATTCATCGACTACTGAGGTCGCCTAGTAAGTGACGGCGCCATCCCAAACTTTTTTGTTTTATTGTTTTTTGTTTTTGGAACAGGGTCTTGCTATGTAATTCAGGCTGGCCTTGAACTCACTATGTAGCCCAGGATGGTCTCGAACTCGCGGCAAATCTGCCTGTCTCCCGAGAGCTGGAATTACAGGCGTGCCGTTACAACCTTTAAAATACCATATACTTTTTATCTGTGTCATGCTTTCCTGTTCAAATGAGTTAGACATAAAGCTTTTCAGGGGAACTGGGTTTTAAACAGGGTCGTGCCCTCCCGACAGAGAAGTTTACGGAGACAAGATGAACAGGAGCAAAGTGTGAATGAGGGACTATTTGGGAAACAAAATCCCGTCGAGAGGTAGGAGCAGGTTCGGCAAGGCTAAAAGGAAGGTTCCCTTCTAAGCTTTAGAGCACCGACTTTAAACGCAGCGCGGGTCAGAACTCAGCTGCACACACAGTCGCACGCCGGATCCATTCGGAGACCCGCCCAGCCCACCTGGGGAGGCGGGGAGCCGCAGCGTACTAGCCTATCATCGCTCCAGACGCCAACGAGGTCTCTTCTTCATTGGCAAGTGACCGGGTGACGTCATATTCTCCGGGCCGGGGAAGGAAGAAGGCTCCATGATTGGTTGGCGCTGGGGCGGCGGGCGGTGGAGGGGCATGCCCAGTGTGGGTTTCCTGCCAGGGCTGGACTTTCTCCTTGCACGTTTCCACGCCGTGGGGGGCTGTGCGGGGTGGCGAGTGGGCCCAGCAGAAACCTGGATTTGATTCGAAGAGCCGAGGGGTTGAAAAGGGGTGACCGGAAGTGATCTTAGAACTGACCGGAAGCGGGGCCTGGAGGGGAAAGAGCTAGTCCCCGGAGGGAGGGGGCTTCCCGCAGAAGAGGCGGGGGAAGGTGGCGCGGTGGCCGGAGCGCGGGGCGGGCCGCCCGTCGCCGCCGCGGCTCGGTCTGGAAGGCAGTGAGCGGCCGCCGGGAGCGACGGGGATACAGAGCCTGCGGAGTGGGAGTGGGAGCCCAGCCGCCCCTGGGAAGTGTGGAAGAGTTGAGCCAGGGCGGCCTCGGGCTCCTGAGCCGGGCAGCAGGGGTTTTGGAAGCCCGAGCAGCCGCGAGAGAGGAGCCCAGCGCACGGGCGATTATTAGCTGTGCGGCCCGTGCAGGTCGCGCGTGGGGGTGGCCGGTGGGGACTGACTGTGGTCTTGGTTTGGAGTTTTGGACTCTCCTACCCCTGTGAGGTACAAATACGCTCCGCGCCTTTGTACGAGGAGCGGTGTCTCCTGGGGCAAGGAAGGAGCCAGGATGGCCTGGGCTCTGAAGCTGCCTCTGGCCGATGAAGTGATTGAATCCGGGCTGGTGCAGGACTTTGATGCCAGCCTGTCCGGGATCGGCCAGGAGCTGGGTGCTGGTGCCTATAGCATGAGGTGAGTGCGACTTCCCCAGCCCCACCTTCGGGATGACAAAGGCAGGGGAGAGCGCTCGGGAGGCTGGGGAAAGGTGGGCAGGGTTGGGAACCTGCAGGTGCGGAGGAGGACTGTTTTGTTGATTGAGTCGTGGGTGTTGTGGAAGAAACGGAAAAGCTTGCAGGCAGCGTGGAGTCTGTGCAGGGCCGGTGGGAGGAGGGCGGGAGAGGCCCGGGGAGCGCGGAGAGGCTGGGCTGCCGGCGAGGTCTGCAGACCGGTGAGTGCGCGGTGGAGCCCGACGTCGGGCGGGGAAGGTCGGGCTGAGCGTGTGCTGGGGATCGTGTGCGGGGGATCGTGTGCGGGGCATCGGGCCGGGACGACGGTGCGTCGGAAGCTGGGGCTTCGTGAGGGACATTGATTGGCTGCTGGTCGGAAACGGGTGCGAACCTGGGGGAAAGAAGTCCTCATCACCTACCTCCCCGCTAGCCCACTTTCTAAGGCTTCACTTAATTGGAGGAAAAGCGGCAAAGGGGACTTTTAGGTATTTCTGGACCTTCATGTATCAGGCCATTTGTTAACAGTAGATGGTAAGCCGCCTTGAAAGCAGCATTACCTGTGCTGCCTTGGCTGCTTGGTTCCCGCATGTGTGGAAATGTTGGCACACCTGCATTTAGGGCTAGCTGGACGGGAATCGGTGTTCTAATGCCGTCGGAAGGCCCAGCTAAACAAGACAATAGAAGAGCCTTTGGAACCGAACACTGAGTTTGTAGGGGAAAGGTGCTTTTGCGGGGCAAAGTGGACAAAATTTGCATTCTGGTAATGAGCTCCCCTGAGACTTATGTAATGTGAAATTCCTTTATCCTGCTGATTCGAAGTGGACTTTCCTCAGTGAAGTAAAATTATGAGTTAGAACTTAATACCTCAACATCAGCATTCTTTGCTCACTGTTAAAATAATAAAGTATCTTAAACATTTTAGTGATTTTCAGTGAAATTTGTTGTTTTGCATTTCGCTTAGTCTTGAGAAACTTAACCTTAGGTTTAACTTCAATAGGTCCTTGTTGAGGTAAATTTGGCTGTAAAAATAGAGATTAACTTGGTCTGAAAGTAAGTGCTCTGGTTCACACTTGGACATAGTATTTGACAACTTAAATTGCTATTCATATGAAGATTACCACAGCAAAAAGTTTGATTTTGTTAAGTTTACTGGAATTTAGGATAGAAATAATAAATGTAACTGTGCTTGTTATATTTATCATCAACAAAAATAGTTTTAACAACAGCAAACATTTGTTCATGTTACATGGATTTCTATGTGCTGTTCATATCACATGACCTTCCATTTAAGAATAATCAAATCAAACTGATCTTCACAGTTATTAGACATGCACATTTCCAAAATTTTTTCCAATGTTTTTTATATCAATTTTTTTCCAATATCAAACAAAAATTATTAAGTTATTAATTATTTTTCTCCAATATCTTTTCCAGTTTTCAAACATAACTTTATAAAGCTGGGTGGTGATGCATGCCTGTTATCCTAGCACTTGGGAGGCTGAGGCAGGAGGATTGCTGAGAGTTTGAGGCCAGCCTCGGCTATATAGTGAGTTCAAGAACAGCTGGAGCTACATAGTGAGACCCAGTCT